GGTAAAACTCAAACATCTCGGCCATTGAGTGCCTAAACCAAAATTGGAATGCATCAATAATGACAAACATGTTACAGTCATGTAGTCTGAATTGCCACAGAGTGCTCGGATGCCGCAATTCGCGCAAGGACAGAGCATAGTACACAGTGCAACAGTGGAGTAGGGCTAGTTTGTTGCAACACTGAGTTTGATGCTCAATGCAATCAACAGGCCTGTTGCTACTTCGAAGTACTAATTGTTGCTACTTCAAAGAGGGAAGTACTAATTGTTGCCAATTCGAAGTACTAATTGTTGCTTGAGGAGTGCAGTGAGCATGAAACTCAAAATACAGTGTTGCAAAAACTATCCCTGCTCAACTGCTCAACTGCTGCACTGTGTACTATGCTCTGCCTTACTCCACTGTTGTACTGTGTAGTCTACACTAGAGCATCTTGCTGCAGCAAGATTCTACTCACCGGTGTGCCATCCCCAGACATTGAGATCTTCTCCATAGCAATAGGTACAAACTGATCGCTCAGAACCTTGGCGATACTGGAGACAGTTGTAACAACCTGTTCACTCACGACGACAACTGCCTCTGTCAACACCAAGAAGGACACGAAGAAAAGGTACAATGTTGATAATCTGGCCCAATGCGATAGCCCTCTGGGGCTCAGTGATACCTGCACGAACGGCTGCACGCACACGGACACACACACACACACACACACACACATGTATGCACACAGAGAGCACATGCCAACAGGTAGGAGCAATGACTGCATGATGGCTGACCAGTGCACAAACCACCAACAGGCTCAATGTTGAATGACCGCTAGCACCATTCCTGCCCTACTATCCAAGCTGAGACCACACAGGGCTGTAGTCCAAGTCAATACACATAACGTCATGGCATTAGCAATTTAGCATTGTGACATTAACCAGCGGCGGCATGCATATAGCAGAGTATCAGCACTTGACAGGACCATCACACAACCATCCAACCCCCAGCCCCCAGCCCCGGCACCCTACCACTGCAGGGTGGTCTGAAGGAACAACACAAACAAACAAACAGAAATGCTGCACTCACTCGATGCCATCTTGGCGCCCTTCACAGCAGTCTTCGTCGTTTCGCTCATCTCCACCGTCTCAGACGCACCGATGTGTTGTTTCAGTTCTACAGATCCCTACAAGCATAGAGAGTGAGTATAGTCAGAGTCAGTACCCATCAGCTAAATGTATGCCCACATTGTGCAATAACATGCTGATGGTTGGATGCATTCGATAACAAATGTGGAATTTTAGACGGGAAAGGTAATACTATTCAGCTTTCAGAAAAAAACATTCACTAGTACTACTTCTGAAAATAACGTGCTGCAATAGAACTGCGTACATATATACATGATAGTGTTTGCACAGATGTCCTATACTAGTAATTTATGGTACCAGTAACAGAATCTCCCAGTGTGGTAGTTGTGTATGGGCAGCATGTCATGATTGACACTGCCCAGTGCAGTATGTTATGAAGAGCAGGCCATAGTGCATGCCATGATTGACACTGCCCAGTGCAGTATGCTATGAAGAGCAGGCCATAGTGCATGCCATGGATGACAAATAGATAGTACATGTACTTAGTGCAGTAGGGTGTGAATGGGAATAACTTACAGCCTGCACCGCTTTCCCCAGGAGCTGAGCAGTTCCACTCAGCACCGACGAGGCCACATTAGCTCCAACTGCGATGCCCTGAAATCCATAGTCAGACAGATATCCATTTAATAATCGCGATCATTGCTATGAAACACAACCTCAAGTACCAGAAGCCATTAACCCCACCATATCACAGATACCACAACCGGGAATACTGGATAAGCAAACTGTTGAATGCATACTTACAGACGATATCTTGGTTGCCCAAGTCGGTGTTTCAGATTCTACTGCATTAGAACCTGGGATAGCTGCAGCAGAACAATTCAAATACACACACACACACACACACACACACACACACACACACACACACACACACACACACACACACACACACACACATACACACACACACACACACACACACACACACACACACACATACACACACACATACACACACACATACACACACACACACACACACACACACACACACATACACACATACACACACACATACACACACACATACACACACACATACACACACACATACATACACACACACACATACACACACACACACACACACACACACACACACACATACACACACACACACACACACACACACACACACACATACACACACACACACACACACACACACACACACACACACACACACACACACACATGATTCGATTCTAACACATGGATACCAACTACAGGACACACATACATAGCACTACGGTTCAATACAGCCGCAAACAACAACGAATCCCAGAATAAACAGAGTTGTTCAACTGTCATACGGCGGTATTGGGCACTCAGCTATTCGCGCAAACATGAACGCATTGATCAAGTATTTACTACTATTTCGCCATCATCTTACCAACAGTAGTAACTGTAGAGTTGGGTTCATCCAATCCACTGGGTACAACCGCAGCTGTACTGCTTCTATCAGAATATGTTGGCGGTGGTACTGGGGGTGCAGCACGAGTAGCAGCAGGAGCAGGAGCAGTAGTCGCCGTTCCTTGATTAGCCATGGCAGACACACCGCTCTGATCTTGAACATTGGACAGCGTTGCCAAGGTCTATCATCAAGGTCACACATGCACGTACACACACACACACACACACACACACGCGCACACACACACACACACACACATGCACACACACGCATGCACACACGCACACACACAAGGTTCATCAGCGGCCGGGTGTAGCGCAATAGACAGCATGCATGGGGAGAGTGGGGAGGGGCACAATCAACAACAGACATGATTCACGTCCTGCAATGGGTGTGTCGCCCTTGGTGAGGGAGATCATTGCTCACATGGCGTTGCCCCCTTGATGGACCCGGAGGCTCATGCCGACGTATGTATGGAAGAACACATAAATGTCCCATCCAAGCCTCAAAGAAGGGGACCTCAGCAGTGGGATGTAGACCCTATGCGTGATTGATGGAAGAGGAAGCTTGGAGAAGTCTATTCTTGGAATGATACGCAGTCGTGACAGCAGGACAGGACTGGTGATGGAAACTTTGCCGAAATGTTGCAAAAAGAAATGAGCGTACGATAGAAACGTGGTGGGCAGTTGCAGACTGATTGGGAAAGAGCTGGCCTGCTCTGCACCACTTTCCCCAGCGACACCACCACAGTGCATACAAACAAAAGATGGGATGGAACTGAGACAAGGTCACACCACGTCTTTCAAGAGGTCACAGTCTATTGTTCATGTTGGCAGGGCCATGACACTGACCTGGACTGACCTCATGCCACGTCAGTATGGTTAGAATTGCCCAAATTTGCGCATATTAACTCAATGAAGCTATCTTAGGATTGATTTTCCTAAAACCTTTAAATTGTTTAAAAAAAACTGAAAGCCTACAGACAAACCTCTTATATCCACTAGTGTATTCAGTGGCATTCACTGTGGCTACACACATGCCATTCTCACCTGGCCAAGCTGTGCAACTACTGCATCATTCACTTCGTCCGTCAGTACAATAGTTACAAACTGCATGCCTGCACAACAAGAAGCACATGCATATACAATGTACACCTCACAGCCATGTAGCAATGTGGATACAAGTACATGCACATACACCTCACAGCCATATGGCAATGTGGTTCAAAATACTGAAAAGCAGACATGCGCCTTCGTTAGAACGGAGGTATGGCAGTTCTCAAACACAGCGAAATGCAAAGCACCAAACAACATGGCCGTCTTTCCCCGAATATAAGTCGCACCTTTTTACACTAAACTTCTCGGGCGAAGAAGGGGATGCGACTTACAATCGAGTGTGACACACGGCTACATAGGTAGGTGCACTAATTATTCATAATCTCAATGTCACCCTCTGCCAACGTCAAGCATCCAGACAAAGGGTGAGCAGTATTGATGAGCATACACACATGCCCCCCCCCCCCACACACACACATGTAGACACACATGCACGCACGCACACACCATGACATATCATATTCCATGACTAGTAAATCTCCTATCTCCAGGGAATGTCCATCTTTACCTCGCAAGCTGCCTTCAGAGCTCATTCCAAATGGATTAGCCCTCTGCAGTGACACACACACACACACACACACACACACACACACACACACACACACACACACGCACACGCACACGCATGCACACACAATATACCATGTATACGCCCGTCGCAAGAGAAGCACGCAAATCGGCAAATGCACTGTATGTGCACCCCCAGATTTTCTCTTTATAGCAATGATAGCGGATCTGATTCTGAATGAAACTGATCAAGACAAGCGCCAGATAACTGTCTAATCCACACAACTGGCGAAGCCATGTGAATCGACCCCCCAATGCACACCTGGTCTACACCACACGGAGTACATCGGAATAGGATGGCCACGACAGTCACTTATCAGGGGCGTCGCACACGGTACGGTCACTACGGTATTGACCGTACCAGTATTTGCCCCAAGTACCCCGTGAATCAATAAAATGCACTGATTTGGGCTCTAAATTTCCAAAATTTTCGGCTCACCCATCCCTCCCCCACGAGTAAATTGTACTTCAGGTGGCTGACCGTACCACACTAAAATACCTCCCGACGCCCCTGCCTATGCACACCCTACACTTGCTGGGGTAACCAGTATACACAGCACGCTGCTTTGATAGAAGAAGACACTAGATGCACTCGTATCTTGAAGTGAAATTGGAGTTACTCACGCACACAAACACGCACGCAAACACACACACACACACACACACATATACACACATTGTTGCACACACTGCCAAAACTGGTCACGTGGGTCTCCCCGGGAGAGGGGAGAGAGACTCAAAAGGAATCTTGGAAAGATGACTCAATTGGCTATTGAACCGCCCAACGGCCGACACCCCCTGAAATCCCCAAAACTCTGGGTGGACTTGAAAATGATCCCACTTATGGGCTCACCACACCTCAGTAAGTGGGTGAGGGCAAGGTGCAGAAAAAGGATTGACGGCATCAGGGTATCCGTCCAGGGATCCAACTGCAGTCACCCCTGCCCCCAGTGAAGGTAATACTTGCTACTAGTGTGGGTGGCTAAATCAGAGTGGATCTGATATAAGCTTCACTAGCACCATTGATTACACAAGAGTTAATCTAGCCAGAAGCAGTCCATGGTTAACAGGTATGTATACTTCAAATAGAAAGTATATGAACCCTGGAACCAAAAAAGGTGGCAGGTACAACATTACACCTTAAGTAGCCGAGTCCGTTGGCAACAGACCCAACACTATCCGGCATAAGTGTACCCACCAACCGAACTAGCTGGCACACACACATACACACATACACACATACACCAGTACAACCTGGCCTAGGCGACATTTCCAGCATAGTCAGGGGGAGAGGCATACAATCAAAAGTAGCATGTCCTTCACAGTACCGTCATTGACTACACAGCCATAAGCCATAACAATGGGATGTTCTCTTACAAGGGAAGGGAGTACACACAGGAGCAGAACGTCTGGTTTAAAAATAGAACGGAAAAGCAGAAGTGGAGCAGCTCTATCATAGGTAGTCTAGGTATGGCCAGGGTCCATCACACAACCCCCGTTACCCCGTATCTAGCCAGGGTCCATCACACAATCCCCGTATCTAGCCGTACCTCGTTCACATCAGGAAATGTATAGCTACGCGGCGAGGACTTGAATATTGGTGAGCATCCCGGGATCAGTGGATACACCCAGCTGTCACACTGCAGGAAAGCTGGTGCTCCTGTAGCAGTCCCTGCATGCATGCATACAGACAAGTACATGTACAGCACAGACGACACAGAATAACAGTAAATAACGTTACCAGTATGAAGGGGACACATTTAAAACAGGCAGAAGCTGTTGTTTCCGTATGCAGTGAAACCTCGGTCTCTGACCTCCTCACTGAACAAGACCACTTCGACCAGCTCACTAGATTAACCAACCATTTTCGCTCAATCTCAAGTTTCCCCCCATACATGCAGCATTTTTAGCGCACATACATTCGAACCTTGGTCTCTGACCACTTCAGAATTCCAACACTTAGACTAGTGCTGCGCCGCGCCAGACCCCATATTCAGAGTTGCACAATTTTGGGGTTATATACTCTTGTATTATGATCAGTCACCACCACTACACAAAGGTCTTGGTAGTAGGAAAAGAACTTTAATGAAAAATTAGTCATAGCAGACTCAGCGGAGAACGCTCAGGTTGATTGTAACTTCAAGTTTCATGCCGCAAAGTAATCCTCAGTTGTCTGATGATTGCACTGCACTGCAACTACTGCTGATTCTGGAATGGCATGTTCGTTCTCAGCCGCCTAGTGTGACAGACTGAACAAACAAGTTCTCTATGAACAACCTCAGCACATCATCTCCTGCGACCATGGCATCCGAGCTTGACTCTCGATTTAGTAATCTATATTTCCTTGATGAATCGCAGCGAGAGAAAGTACAGGGCAATGTCCTTGACACCGCTGTGGGAGCCAGAGAGGGCAGGCAGTCCCCGTGCATAGTGGCAATTGAGCCTTTTGCCAAGCGATCTTCGGCAACCACTAGCTTGGCGATGCTGATGCCTGCATGACCTGGACGGGAAGAAGCTCAGTCTGGGTCATGTGAAGCCAGCTGCACACCACAGAGGACCATCGAGCAGCAAAAGCCCGCTTTCTGTACACAAGTTTACAGAGGAAATAGTGGATTTTGAAAGTGACCCACTCCAGAGGTGGCAATTGAACGCAACCCGATTCCCTGATCTTGCTGCACTTGCAAGGAAATTCTTGGCTAGCTCCAGGTCCCTGGTCCCATATGAAGTGGTGTTTTCTGCTTTAGGGGTTCTGTTCACAACACGACTATCAATGGTGAGAGCATCGACCGCGTGCTTGTGCTACCAGAAGAGGAAGCAGCCGAGCCACAGCTGCCTGCCGTTGGGAGTCTTCTGACATTCCCGAAACCAGCAGGGATTCAAGCAATGCGCACTGCAAGCATTCACACTGCACCATTACCAGTGCAAAGAGTCCCATGTACATAATAATATATACCTGTTTCGAAGAAAAAAATAGTCGTTCAGCCGATAAACCGATCGTTAATATGACTTCAGCTAAGCCAGGAAGAAAAAATGTAATCGTTTCAGCACTAGCTTACAGCCAGCCACTTTTTCACCTTTCTTTGTCTCAAACTGAAACGAGACCAGAACCTAACCTTTTTTCTACGGCAGAACGTTTATAACAGCTAACTAGTTGCAAAAGTGGACTTCCAGTGCATGTACAGGCGGTCGGTCTGCTTCAATGTTCACAGTCGACATGAGGGTGCCATAGTATCAAGGGAGACGACACTTGCAAATGGAATGCGAACAAAGCGTAGGTTTCGTTCCCTCACGAGATGCCTGTTCCAGTTGGCCTTGGGGCAAAGCCGATATGACATCACTGGTCTGGGATGCGTGTGGGGTCTCAAAGCCGGAATGGCATCACTGGTCTGGGACGCGTGCGGGGTCTCAAAGCCGATACGGCATCACTGGTCTGGGATGCATGCGGGGTCACAAAGCCGATACGGTATCACTGGTCTGGGACGCGTGCGGGGTCTCAAAGCCGATACGGCATCACTGGTCTGGGATGCGTGCGGGGTCACAAAACCGATACGGCATCACTGGTCTGGGATGCGTGCGGGGTCACAAAACCGATTTGGCATCACTGGTCTGGGACGCGTGCGGGGTCTCAAAGCCGATACGGCATCACTGGTCTGGGATGCATGCGGGGTCACAAAGCCGATACGGCATCACTGGTCTGGGATGCGTGCGGGGTCACAAAGCCGATACGGTATCACTGGTCTGGGATGCGTGCGGGGTCTCAAAGCCGATACGGCATCACTGGTCTGGGATGCGTGCGGGGTCACAAAACCGATACGGCATCACTGGTCTGGGATGCGTGCGGGGTCACAAAACCGATTTGGCATCACTGGTCTGGGACGCGTGCGGGGTCTCAAAGCCGATACGGCATCACTGGTCTGGGATGCATGCGGGGTCACAAAGCCGATACGGCATCACTGGTCTGGGATGCGTGCGGGGTCACAAAGCCGATACGGTATCACTGGTCTGGGATGCGTGCGGGGTCTCAAAGCCGATACGGCATCACTGGTCTGGGATGCGTGCGGGGTCACACAACCGATACGGCATCACTGGGCTGGGATGCGTGTGGGGTCACAAAGCCGATATGGCATCACTGGGCTGGGATGGGTGGGATCAGCATGTCAAGATTGTGATCGCGCGTTGCACAGACATTGAGCTTCCAAAGCCGGGGTCGAAGCACACATCGGTTCATTAGGTGCTAGGTACAATGGTCTCGATTTGTCTCCCCAGACGCTACGACTCCCTGGTCTACACCATGATGAACCATCCCCCCCCCCCCCCCCCCCACACACACACACCGCGTCCTGGCACCTTTTTGCATGGGATTCAGTATAGATTGTGCCCCATCTGGACAGAAGCCCACAGTCACAACAAGGTGTCAGGACACAGTTGGTTTCACTGTACCTTGATTGCCTGTAGTCGGGATGAGGAACACCTTCAACGACACTGGGCCTGGCTGCTCTGATACTTCACCAGTAGATGCTGTCATCAACATTCGAACACCTTGAAACAGAAGCAACAATGACTAGAGTCAATTTAATTAGCGACAAACTCGGCCATTACGTGATATTAGTCAATGTGATTCCTTTACTTCGACACCAGGGTAGATGAACTATCAGATGAGCCAGCACAAAACTAGATAATGCTGATGTCCAACGTTACCATGCACGTACGCACATCCACACCCAGACACACCCACACGCACGCACGCACACACACACACGCACACACACACACACACACACACACACACACCTTGACCTTTGACGCCCATCGCCGGAGGCGATGATAGCAATGCTACGGCAGAAGCCATAGCAACTTGTGCTGGGATTACACCATTCAACAGCTTGCAAGGCTGAAGAATTGACCGTCACTATTCAGCCTGGTCTACACCATACAGCTATTTGGAGTGACATTTTCTGGCCAGTGAATCCCTTTTTTGGTCTTTTTCATTTTTTTCTTTTTTTTTTCTTTTTTTTTTCCCGCACACACATCACACCACATACTCCGGCATGCACTGGCTGTTGGTAACCACCCAGGAGAATGAAAGAAAAGTCAGGAAGAGTCTGAGAAAGAGAAGAAAGACGTGTGTGACCATAATCGTCGGGAATCGAACCCGCAATCTATTGATTGGAAATCGCTGCACATACCACTGCACCATATGGGACACACACACACACACACACACACGCACACACACACACACACACACACACACACACACACACACACACACACACACACACACACACACACACACACACACATGCATGTACAGGTGAGCACAGGTACGTACCACGGGTAAGGACAAACACCATGTCCGCTTCTGTTCTCTTCAAGAGTGAAGACTGCATGGAGTTATCGGATGCCTCAGCACTATACTGTGGCGTGGGGACTACACATTCCATGTTCTGCAGGCGAGTAGATGCATTATCAAACAACCTACACACACGCGCGCGCACGCGCACACACACACACACACAGCAGTTCCGGCCATGCACAAAAGTCACTTTAACAACTGACAGTCCACTGGTACTGTATTATCACAAGAAAAGGCACCCATGAAGACAGCGTAAACTGAAAACTGGTAACCAGATACTAGAACTGTAATCACTGTTTTGTCTCATAGCCATCTTGTATCATTGGTATGTGAGAATGTGTCTCAAGGCAGAGGATTTATTCGGTGAAGTTAGTAGCACCTAAACAAATTGACACTATTAAACGTATAGAAATTTACAGATTTCAAGCACTCGTTCCCTGTTGGGAACACTGTTTTCCTCCGTTGACAATAGCACCACAGAATCGGACACACATAGTCTTCCAGGTGCCAAAATTGAGACCATTAGGAACCCATGCCACAGCATGCATGGCAGTGCTAACTCTTTGTTCACCCTTACACTTCAATGGAGTGTCCTACCATTGCCTTATTTGAGTTGTCCTTTTCGATTTCGATCTCACCTGATAGCGTCACACAATTGGCTTTGTGAATAAAACAGATCCCCACTAAACATCGATATCAGCGCTGCTCCCTCACACATTCACAGCATTCATTACAAGTAGCACAAGTCAATGTAGTGCTAAAAGTAAAGTAAAGGTTGCATATCCACGCTACCACTAGCTATACAATCGTGTTGAGAAACACGACCAGCTTAGGAAGTTTCACTTGTGCCAGGCCACCACCATGCCTGATTATACCAGGGTGGCAGATGCAGCGCAAGTACACTACAAATACCTTGTCGCCATCCCTAGTGATGCATACAAGGCTTGTAATTATAGCACATGGCCTGTTTGCTAGATGCGAGCAGCAGCAAATCCGTGCGACATTTGGCGGCCGCACTTTCACCGTATAAGACATAACCCTTCCCTGCTTTAGGTTACAAGACTATTATCCTGAAGTTGACTGACAACTGTTGAGTCAAAATGTTGAATACTTGATGTATTAAAAAAGTTGCCATTGCGATTACCAGTGTTCTGTTCATGCAGTATGCTGGAAATGATAAGTGAGCCGTCTGTAGATCTGGAAGATATCATAGAAATGCCCCCGCTATGGATGTCAACACAGGTAAGAACTGGATGTAGAATTATTGTCTCTCAAGTTTATGTATGATAGAAGCTGGGCTGCTACTGGGGATCAAGTATGAGCAAGGATACATGCACACACACACACACACACACACCCACACCAGACACATACAGACTCACACTTACGTACACCCACCCACCCATGCCCGCAAACGCACGCACGCACGTACGCACGCACCCCCCCCCCACACATGCACACACACACATGCACGCACGCACGCACACACACACACACACACACACACACACACACACACACACACACACACACACACACACAACAACAACAACAAATGAGAAAGCATGGCTATGCAAGACCGGAAACAACACATGATATTAACATTCGACTCACTGGGACATCTTGGTTTGAAGAGATTGTAGATGTTTCACATCAGTCTCGTCTCTAGCTACTGACATCACGTCCACTGACATGCCCGCAAGCAACACTCGGCAACCTGGGGAGCACATCAGTCATTATTCACAGTAAAGGAAGAATAGCCTACTGTACCGCACTATCCCCACAAAAAAAAATGTTAACTCGGATACTGAGCCAGTAATAAATACAAAAGAGAGAAGAAAACACATGAGAACGAGTTATGCAGGAACTATCCACGACTGTAGCAAGATGAACCATGAACCTTCCAAGTTGGAAGGCTGTTGGTTTGCGCACTGGAGATGTGTTAGAGCTAGGTCTCGGGTCGCTGAATGTCTCAGTAGCCCGTCAGTTTTGTGCCCTATTATCGCACGTTCTGACTCTTTATCATCTTGTTACAGTCGTGGATAGTTGCTGCATAACTCGTTCTCATGTGTTTTCTTCTCTCTTAAAAAAATGTCAAGTCACAATTGTTTTCCAGGTGGTCAGACCTGTATTACTATTGGAGACTGTACTAGAATTGATTCTGACAAGATAGATAACTGTTAGATTGATTGCAGCACCAATATTGAATGCCATGCAACGCACAATCATCACTACATTGTAATAACCAGAAAACACTGAAATACAAGGATGAAAAAATGGGTAGACAAACATCCGAAAATTAGATGTCAAAACGTTTTTTTCAAAAGAGAAGAATGTGTGTATTCCTTACATTCCTGGTAAAGTTGAACTGACTGTGAAGTCTTTCCATCTTCATCCATAGTCAACGCTTGCTTCAGAAGTCTATATGGCAGTAAAGTATCCGATATTATTTACGAAGAGTAAACACAAACAACATTGTTTCTACCGTTACTGACTTATCGCTATCGCCATTACTGGCATTAGCAATGCAGATATACCTAAGTCTCAATGTTCTTTGAAAAGTACATCATCGGAATTGTTTGGCCAAAGAGGTAGGCAGCGCTGAGCAGCTCGTAAGATGCTCAGTTCGCTACAATAAAATACTTGTGTCAGGTTGTGCACTGGAGCTGATGACGTAGGCATTCATGCAGTGGCCATACAAGGATCGAGCGCCATCAATGGTGATTATCGCCGGTCTGGCAAAAGCGAAATGTTCGGAAGATGAAGCCTTCGAGGCGGGGAGACGAATGATTTTGTCCGAGAACATTGTGGCAAAGCTACCGTACTTCCATGCACAAAGCACATGTGCATATATGCAACAAGTTGCTGTGTTCGGCAGAATCGAGACCGTTTTTGCTCTATGTATACCGGTAAGCATGTACTTATAGAGTCAAACCTCTTTAGGACGAACACTGATAAGGCGAACGTTCCATTATCGTCCTAACGCGGTTTGACTGTAGTATGGGCGCACAGCGGATCACAGAATGCACATGGCCATTTATGGGTGCAGAGGCCGGTCTTCATGCACTTTTACGTGTGCTGGTACAGTCTGCATGGGCATTTCCTGCCAGACTTTGGTGAAAAGTGATACTGAGCATATCACTGTCAGTGTGTCAACTGGTGAATTATGTAATAAACTGCCCGGTGCTAACTGAACATGAGCAATTATTTTGTTCATATTTTAGCACATTTGCTTATATGCAAATGCGTGTTTATATTCAGATTGAAGCACATGTGCTTTTGTGCGCGGAAGTACGCTAAGTATTGCCCGATCGAATAGGATCCAAAATCGGCCATCCTGTATTCAAGATGTATGTGCAGCCGTCAGGTCTGGTACAATGACATCAGCACTAGAATGCAGTACCAAAGGACAGTTGAGAAGTACATGACAAACGACTCAGGTTCGTCTGACACCAGCTCCTAGAAACGCACATGTTCTGAAGTGCTGATGCCGTCTATACTATTAGTATTACAATTCGGGGTCAAACGGGTGTACCTTTAACTAACGAACGGGTAATTTTCTTAACGGGCGGGTTAACGGGTACCCTTTAGCAGCCATGTTTTACTTCTTTCCGCAATTTTCACACAAATCAAGATTTTAATTACAATAGTAGTCTGTTCTCGGGTTGCATTTTGATATCACATTGTGATTCACAAACCGATTGGTGTCTGATAGTCGCAGGAGTAGATCTACTAGGTGCGAAAATGCAACAACAATGCAGACATCCAGCGTGGAGTTGTAAATAATTGACTCCCGCCTGGAATACACGGTCCCAGCAGTGTTGCTCCGTACTGACTGGTTCATCAAAATCCAAACGGGTACCCTTTTACGAACGGTACCTGAGATTAACGGCCGGGTACCCGGTACACCCCTTTGACCCCTAATTACAATCCTTCAGATAGAGATCAGGGTGACCTTGAATAAACTATGAAGTTGGTCTTTACTGTGATACCACTGTGTTGAATACCAGTTTAAATTTGATGCTTCTTTCTTTTTTATGGGTGCAAGTGTACGAGTATGGTTGGAACGAGGGAGTACATTTACAGTGCCGACTGGTTGGAATTGTGACCCTTTCCAACTCACCTTCGAGCATCTGTGTTGGCTTGAAGGACTGTGTCACGACCCATTGCTGAAGCAGTGGCCATCTTTAGAGCCAATAAGTGAGGTTTGTAAGCTAAATTCGATGGACTGTCTCAGGCAATCTTTCACTGAGTAAATCACTAGTTGAAACTTCTGTGACGATGCTGCTAACACAGTCGGACAAGTTCGGATGTGTCTAACAAACAACACTATATTGGTGTGTATTGAGGAGCCGTAGATCAACAGCAGTTCTTCCCTATAGTCGAATAAGTATCCACGAGTCAATGTCTCTCCTCGTCTCAGTTTTGTTCATTCTGATGTCGATGTCGATGACTGCAAAACTTCATCATTCAAACGCTGACTACAGGGTCGTCATCCTCAGCAAAAGTGAGGTCAGATCATCAGCACTGACATCATACCTGCCAGCCAGTACGCAGTGCAGTGCCACTGTGCCAGCCCAGCCTAGCGCCTGCTGCACATGCACTGCACTCTGCCAGCCGGTGCCAGGCCAGAATGATATTATAGCGATAAAAACTGCTTTATGGCAGTTTTCTAAAAAAAGTTATTGTGTTCTAGTCCATGGACCTCGTCTAAAAAGTAAGAAATTAACGAAATGTGATAGCTGAAAATTAAAATTTCACACAAAACCTCACAATAATCACAACACTTGAAATGCTGTTTTAAACTTTAACTTGTACTGCACCAACAATTGGCAACATGCATGCATAGGAAAGAGGATCACGAGGAGAAAAGGTCGTCTACATGTAGCTTTTAATTCTGTGTGTGATTATTGTGAGGTTTTGTGTGAAATTTTAATTTTCAGCTATCACATTTCGTTAATTTCTTACTTTTTAGACGAGGTCCATGGACTAGAACACAATAACTTTTTTTAGAAAACTGCCATAAAGCAGTTTTTATCGCTATAATTTCTTTTGTTTTTTCTGTCACCAATCAATGGAATGCCCTATATCAATATGTAAATGATGGCCTTCACATCATATCAATACCGTATTATACGCATTGATGTGCAAGCCTTTTCTTGCAGAAAATGGCACTAGCATAATGCATGTTCTTCTGCGGGGAAACATGTGAGTAGTGGTGGTGATGCTTTTTTTATACGGAGGTCATTCTGTGCATGTTGCTGTTGCAGAATTTCATGACTCTGTCATAAATTTGTCTTGCCTTTCAGATATTTCAGATTTCCCCACCCTCGATCAGATTTATTTGAGAAATGTAGCCATGCGCCAGGTGCGTGTCCCAGATGTTTTTGTTGATTCTGTGTTTATAATGGTTTATAATCATGGGTTATCGTGATAAGGTCATCCAGCATCATATTGCACTGAAATCGTAATCCTGTTGATGTCGATACAACTTTTGGAAGTAGTTCAATGACTTCAAACTGTTAGTCCACGATTTTCTAAAGCAACACAGCAAAGGAGGAACAATAAACATGTATTATAATGTAAACAAATACATTGCTGAGTCCGACACCTCGTTCCAAGAACTACACTGATCCTGAGGATATAAGGGTCAAGGCTATTATTATTATTATGAAATGACCCAAAAGCAACGTGCCTATCGAGGGGTTCATTTGATTGAAAGAACAGTAGATGTAGATGTATGTACAAAGACAAGTATGGTTGGAGGTACTGATACTGAGAGATAAACAAGGCACTCCATGATAATAAAATCTTACACATCTTTTGGTGAGTATGAATGATATCCAGTCGAACCTCTTTAGGACAAACACCAAGGTACCGATGGTATTTTATTCTGTGAGTTTGTCTTAACCTATTTTATAACCAATGAATACAATCTTTTCTCCAATAGACATACGAATAGATTTCTTCTACAGTGAAAGATTCTAAGCCACACCGACTCATCTCGTATGAAACAAATGAGTCACTAGAGAGGTTCTGCAGAACGAAAATGCGTACAAACTTTCGCTCTACATCATGAAGTGCAAAACTTCGCACGAACTTTCGCAACTTTGGACGCGAAACTTACATGGAACGCCAAATGAACTGTCGTAGGAAATTTCGTGAGATCGGGTCATCTTGGCGTACGTGCACTTGGCCCGCGCAAACTACGAAAATGTGCAGAACGCAAAGTTCGTGCAAAAATTCGTACACACTTTCGCAAGGACTGTCGCAAAAATTCGTTCGAATTTTCGTTTTGCAGAACCTCTCTACTGAACCTTTCTTTAGCAACATGACGGCAACTGAAACAGCAACAGAGAAAGTACGATACATGTACTGCACATTCTTGCAGGTACTACAAACAGATTGCAGATCGTAATTCTTGCTTTGGCGGCACGAAACTTTATTTGGGGCAGTGCAATCTCGGCGGTACTCACAAATCAAACAGCCCAGACTCGAGTAAACAAATCCAAACATACAAGTAGGAGATTTTCACGAGACGAGACTGCACCCATTGCCTTGTTTTGTATGAAGCAAACAAGTTACTGAACCTCTCCACAATGGAGATTTTCCCTGATATGCGAATTTATTTGGCAAACTCGGTCAATGAGTCCTTGAACCTTTCCCTCTAGATTGCGAACTGCCAACGATAGTATGCCACTGACCAGTGCCTTACTTGTAACGTACTAATGTGCAATGAATATGAGTCTTTCGACAACACATCTAACATAAGCCTTACCGTCAAGAAGGTGAACTCGCGTTCTTGGCACACTGTAGACAAGGGCAAAGAGATAAAAATGGATCTAAATCCGAATAAAATCAGCACACGTTTCCGTAAATGAAAGGGTGAGCATAAGCAAATGAATCGAAGGAAACTGGTCAACTCAGAGATCACCTGTCATTGAGTATTCCGTAAAAGGAGGCCTCGGCTGCGGAAAAGCTAAATTGTGAGAAAGGAGATCCTGTCAGCTTTTCCATTATTTATTGCATTCCGCCCAAAATCAGCACACGTTTCGTAAATGAAAGAGTCAACACAAGCAAATGAATCAAAGGGAACTGGTCAACTCACCTGTCATTGAGTAATATTCCGCGAAAGGAGGTCTCAGCAGCGCCGAAACGAAATAAGCCAGGCCAGGAGACGAAATATCCGAAACAGGTCATGTAAGAAGCAGTTCCAAAGAAGGAAGTTCCTCGTGCATGCACATCCGAAAAGGCAACAACAAAAAGTCTACAATGCACACGCATGCGGCCAGCCGGCCGCGCGATGGTACTCGTAGGAGAGCCATGGACCAGGTACCGAGCATCTTACGTAGAAACTTACGTAGCTACGTAGACAACGTGTCTGAATAGCGGTGTCGTTAGGTAGCGCCATGTGAACACAATAATAGAAAAGCTGACAGGATCGCTTTTCTAAATAAGCCTTACCGTCAAGAAGGTGAACTCGCGTTCTTCGCACACTGTAGGCAAGGGCAAAGAGATAAAAATGGATCTAAATCCGAATAAAATCAGCACACGTTTCCGTAAATGAAAGGGTGAGCATAAGCAAATTATCCAAATAAAAACCACTCTGTGAGCGGTTCTGAAAAACCTTTACTGGTACTGCCCCGTCGTAAAAGTAAGAAATTAGAACTGGCCCATTGTCCCCCCAAATGCGAACTGATCCACCTAAATCGCGAATGACGGGACCCGAACGCACCAGTAGCACGAGGTCGGGAGGGCACAGGACAGCAATTCTCATAGGGTAACACCACCTACCGCTAGTACAGACGGTCAGTACATGGCCTATAGTCCGGACCAACGTCCCCATCTGCATTCACAGGTAGGAACCTCGTGCTACTGGTGCGTTCGGGTCCCGTCATTCGCGATTTAGGTGGATCAGTTCGCATTTGGGGGGACAATGGGCCAGTTCTAATTTCTTACTTTTACGACGGGGCAGTACCAGTAAAGGTTTTTCAGAACCGCTCACAGAGTGGTTTTTATTTGGATAATTTCAGTTCTTTTTCCGTTCCCTCCCCACCCCAACCCCGAAGGTAAACACGATGACCACGCGCGCGATGTACTGTATGTAGCCATGAGATTGCAATAACACACTGATACATACCAGCCCTCCCCGCCTCGCTACCCCGCACACAGATACACAAACATGCGTATGCACACGGCACACACACGTGGCCACGCACATGCACACGACACAAACTAAGTTCTTCATATATAATGCCATGCAAAGCAGTGGCCACCGTACTTGAGGAAGTCAGTTGTGAAACAAAAATAATGCAACTACAGCATGTAGACAAGCTGACGGCCAAAGCACAACATAGCAAACATGACATTTGCCCAAGGATTGCAGTTTGCAGACCACGCCATGGAAGCAGCGAATACAGAATGTAATATCATACAAAGTGTCAAGCAAGGAAGTGGCCATCATACACCAGAAACTTGCAGAAAGTCACACATCCAACAGATAGAGAAGTGAACAGCAATCTGATACAGCCCACACAGGACAAAGCTGACCTGATACTCGTCCCAGGATCGCAAGTGGCAAATCCTTTTCAATGCATAACATGCAGGTTTACGTTAGACGCATGGACACCATCTGACCGTGTCGCCAGCATACAATGTCATCACATGTTTACCCCACAAGTTACACACATGTACAGTAGAAGCACAATGAAAGCAATGGAAAAGTACGATGTGGTTGCTGAAGCATCTTCACACTTCAAATTCAGACTTCAATGTGGTCGTCACGGGATGATATACCTGCAAGATACAAGTGATGAAGAAAGAAAGCAGAAGGTCGTGAGGTAGGCTATGAGTAGCCCTTTCCCAAAGATGCCATAGTTTTTCGCAACTTATGCAGAATTGTCATAATCGAGCATTTCCCAAACTGAGAAGTGCAATGAAATCCACTTGCATGCACAGGAGCAATTTTGCAATATTATGATGCGCAATTCGACACGATCTGCGATGCTGTGTGCGATGTGCCCTGCTGTCATGATGGTGACAGTCACCGCGGTATGTTTTGTCAACGTCGCCCATGCACTCTTCTGTCAAGTCCAAAGTGCTCACATACTTGGCAATGTCTTTGCTGTGATTAACTTTTATCCTAGTTATGTCACGGGTAACTTTAATGAAGTACCCACAGGCCGTGTCGATCCGCACATCGTCCACTCTCTCATGTACTTGGCCTGCTTTGTCTGTGTATCCATTTCATGTGCGATCCACAAAATCGACTAGACAGTGGGTGCAATACGCTGTCTATCTGAAGACGTTCTTCTGGCGACATCTCGCCATGTACTTGGCCTGCTTTGTCTGTGTATCCATTTTCATGTGCGATCAACAAAATCTCAATGCACTACAGACTAGACAGTGGGTGCAATACGCTCTCTATCTGAAGACGTGAA